AATTAAGAATTTCTTGTTCGGCCCGTTACCAATTGATCCACGGATCGGTACCGGTCCGCGGCCCGGGGGTTGGGGACCACTGCCATAAACAGTCTATGATCCACACTAAAAATGCAATTGTGGTTAAAACAAAAAAGTGCAGTTGCTCGGCAACTGAACAGACGCTTTTTACTTTTCCGGAAGTACGTGGCTCAGCGAAAACATGGCGCCCAGGGTTGTGCATATATCTCTTACACTCATTGATTCAACTCATTATTTTAACGTTTTATGGTGGTCTGTTTACGTCGCTTTTGCTGTATTTGAAACAGTACACACTGACAATGTGTTCGGTGCAAGCCCCACGTCTACTGTACAAGTCGCTGCGGCTAGGGACCTGCGGTGAGTTTAACCGCAGGCGTCAAGTCACTGTTAGCTAGCTGTGCTAGCGTAAAGTTATTAACGGTTATTAATTTTCGTTTAACGGTAACGTTAGTTTGTATGTGGACTACAAGTTCACGCTACACTCTTGTCCTTTAAGGCTCTATATATATCCCGTTTGCCAGACTTGAGTGCTTGTGCTTAGCCCTGTAGTCTTAATAAGACCAAAAGGTTTAATCTCACTGTTTTGAAAGTAGCAAATTTAATTATTCCTGTATATAACATTCACACACCTCTGTAGACCTCTACCGTATTAGGAGTTACAAAGCTGTTTTGTTGTAGTGAAGTGGTCCTGTTGTTAGCCTGTCATACAATTAGGTTTAGGATCAGGTTGTACTTTGGTTAGGACAGCAACGTTATAATAATAGTTATCTAGGTTTTTAAAGGGTGGGTTTATTCGTTCATACCGATTATGGTGGTGATTAAGAAATGGCAATTCATTGCTAGTTTGCGATTTGTAGATTGTGTCACATAATGATGTTGGTATCAAATCTGATTTTGAGATTTGATGAGTTAAGGTGCTGATATTTACTGGTAATTACCTTTAAGCTTTTTTTGTTTGGTTGGTTTTTGTTTTAATTTTTTCTTACTGTATTGTTGTACATATTAATCCAGCAGCTTGCAGGTCTTTTCCCACAACCAGTGGCTGTGCCCTCAATGTCATAAGCATGTATTACTAACATATTTTATATATTGTGTCAGGATTTTTTGTATTACTAACATATTTTATATATTGTGTCAGGATTTTTCACAGTGTATTCTTTGATGCCCTGGTGATGACAGTCTTTCTGTTATCGCACTACTGTCACTGACTGTACATGTTTTGTTTTGTTTTTTGACTCATAGCTTATAGGTTGTACCGTTTTCATCCTAATTACTTTAATCCTGTTTCTTTTTCTGTTTTATTCTATTTTTTTATTCTACTTTTATTCTGTTTAAGTTCCTAAATGGCATGGCACTCATTACTAGCAGAGAGAGAAATGGTATTTCAGTTTTCTGTATATCCTGCACATATAGTAAATTGACAATAAAAATCTTTAAACCTCTTTCAACCTTCATTCTAGTGTACAACTGGAATGATGGTGCCATTGCAGAACATGATGGTGTAACTACATTGCTAATTTCCTGTTTTAGTTATATAAATAAATTGGATTTTAGTTGCTTTACTACTGACTATTGCAGGTTTGCCAGTGAGCTGCTGATTTAGTTTTCTTTATCTCACTTAGAGCATCCTCAAACTCCACAATCTCATGCCTTCTCTTGTCCTATTAGGTACCTTTTGTATGACGTGAACCCCCCAGAGGGTTTCAACTTGCGGAGAGATGTCTATATCCGCATGGCCTCCCTGGTTAAAACTCTGAGAAAGGATGGGGATGACTGGGTCCTTGTGCTTCCTCCATGGGGTCGCCTGTATCACTGGCAGAGCCCCAACATCCATCAGACCCGAATTCAGTGGGGAGAGTTTTTTTGCCTCACTAGCTTGCAGGCCAATGTACCTGTCATTGAGTATGAGGAGTTCATTGCTGGTGAGATTTTAATTTTCTGGGAGTTACATCTTATTTGTCCAGCAAGTAAACTTACTGAAACCTCATTATTTGTGTATGTTTATACCAGGGGTTCAATCATGGCCCCCTGGTGGTCGGAAAAGGCATAGCAGGACATGCGTTTAATAATGTAGTTTGACTGAAGGAATTACTCTTTTTATTTATTATTTTTTAAGCATATTTTCATGTGTGAATTTGTTATACTCTGAAAAATATAAATGTTTTTTCCACAATACCAGTCACCACATTTTAGTCAGCTGATAAAAAGAGTGCTCCTTAGCTAAGTCTAATCATGTAGGATGTGAACACCCACTGAGTGTGTTTTGTTCCTTTCATGGGTCTAGAGAATGGAGGCCCATTCATAGACCAGGTTCTAGTACTGCAAAACTATGCTGAGGGATGGACTGATGGAAAATGGGAGGAAAAGGTTGATGTGAGGCCATGCATTGAGAAGCTGATGTATTCCAAAGATAAGCAGGGCTATTACAGGTAAATCAACACAATGCATAATTACCCACAATGACATTTTAAAAGCACAGATTATAAAAAGAAGATAGCTTCAGGCAATTGGAAGTCAGTGTGGTGAATACTTATATATAATGAGTGAGAAACTATAGACTAGGTTTTCATTTAGTTTTGTATTAGTAGTCTATTTTGGAAAGCTTTACCACCTTAATTATCATGGAGCTGATGTTTTCTGAACCCAGTGGTTCTCAAACCTTTTCTGTCATGACTTCTGTTATAGAAAAAAATAGTTTGTGTCTATGTGAAAGAATCATTCAGTTATAGAGCTAAAGAAAATAGATTGTAATTACACAAGAATAACTCAGTAGGCCTTCCTCAGACAGACACATTCACAGTTATCCTGTATTAATGATTTCTGCTTCCACCTTCCTGATCACACATCTCTTTTCTCTCTATTCATCATCAGCTGTCTTGTCTTATTTGTCTTGTTTGTGTTTTCAAGGGGCTGGTTTTGGGGCTACGAGGAAACAAGAGCTCGAAATGTGACATGCATATCGGCACAAGGCCATGCCTCTATCATGGCCCCAGTTCTTCAGAAAAACATCACAGTGATGTGAGTCTACAGAGCAACGAGCTGTTATAAATTCACAATCACACACACACACAAGCACACGCACATGCACACAGTGCGGAACCTACCGATCACTAATAGCTGAGCAGTTAACATTATTTGTTTGATTTCTTATTTTTATGATATTTATCAAAATATCCCTTGTGTAAATAATGTTGGATTTAATGCAGTACCACATTCTACACAAACCAGCACTTTAAACGATTAGCATGACACATTTCAGCAGAGCCAGTTCTAATCTCCGTGGAGCCCAAAACAATATTTTGTGAAAGTGCACTTCCTTGTTCCTGAGCCATGTGCCATATAAACCATTAGCCACTGCCACATACCTGACAAACCTGTGCTCAAATTACAGTGCTCCTTCCTATAAAACAGGTTGCTCACTTTGTCTAAGAACAAGTAGATCTATAGAGAAGAGAGTGAGGTATATACAGTACAAGCAGTATTTATTGAATAGAATTTTTTTAAATAAAATCTTATGATCTATGAATCAGATGGCCTGTGTTAGTACTAGCTGAGGCCAAATGTGGATCAGCTGAGTCTGCTTGTACTGGCTGATGATCCAGAATCTTCTCTACGGACAAACCTAAGCACCTGTAAATTATAAGTAGCAATACTATTATTTTATTGGCTGCATCGGGTACTGTACATTTAAACTGGCTCCCCCAGAGTTCCTTTTATGCATTTTCAAATGTGCATCCATATCGTCCAATAATCACATTTAATATATAATCACTAAACCATGACTGAGAGACTAGATCATCATTGTCTTGTTTTAAAATGATGTGCACCTATGAGAAGTGCTATCAAGCTCATATATTGCCTGGACTGGTCCCCACAGAGGTTGCTGCAGAATAGCAGGAGTTACATTTTGTGCACGCACATACAAATGCATGTTCAAGGTTATGAACAGCATTGCCCGTTGGTGTTTATTAAACCTAATAAATAGTTGTGTAATTAGCGGAGCCTTAAGCAATTTGTGTAGCGAGCAAAAGCAACATGCGCACACACACAAATTCAAATCTAGATTATTTTATAGAAATTAGAAAATATCTCTGTGCCACCTACTGTTGCATTTAGTTGGTTCTCAAATATCTGAATCTTTGTATCTTTAGCAAATGAAGTATTTTCAATAAAGAAAATTTTACTGCAAACCTGCAAAGTTAAAGGAAACAAGATATCTTAAAGTATTGTTTTTATGGATGTTTACAGGAAAATGCATTAATGCTATGAAAGTGAATGACATGAAAACACTATCTAGACACAAATTTTATGTTTCCAAATATATTGTGCTATTTTTAAATTCCTCTACAATATAGCTAAAGTATTCAGTTTTTGTGTTTGTGAAAAGCTGAAAGATGATCAGACTTCACTGTTATCTAAATGTGGTATTGCTTACAGTTTATTCTGTCAGATGATGATGGTGACAGTTACAGAGAAAAACTTGTCTGTATGCTGTTGCTCTTTTGCAGATCAGTAATGCTTGACCGAGCAGAGACGCTACTCCATGATCACTATGCTGGGAAGGATTACTGGGATGTAAGTCAAAGAATGGGCTGTTATCATACCTACTGTATGTTGTTGGTGTCTGGTGTTAGGTGACATATTGTACTCTTATGCCTTTCTGTGCTGTAGGCGGAGACAATATGGTTGAGAGCTGTCTGTCTTCTCGTGATCACAGTATTTCAGGAATGTTTTGAGGGAATTTCTTAAAATTGGGCACAAACGTCTCAAGGATGAGCTAATTCTGCTTTGGTGGTCAAAGGTCAAGGTCACTGTGACCTCAGGTCCACCCCATTCTTGTGTATGAGAAATCTTAGGAATGCCCTGTGGCATCCGTCCGTTCATTCTTTTGAATGTGATATGTAAGGAACGCCTTGAGAGAATTTCTTCAGATTTGGTACGTGGCCACTTAAACTTAAGGATGAGCTGGTTAGATTTTGGTGGTGTGGTGCTAGTTCGTTTATATTGAAAGAGAAGACTAATAAGAGGTTATATATTTCTCAGTATGAAATTTATTATGCATTAACGTATCAAAATTAACATGTGCACATGGAGCCTATCTGTTTAGGATAAACAAGAAAGACTGACTTCAACTTAGTGGGTAACAATATTTGTATGAAAAGGTACTACTATCTAATTGGTCCAAAACAGTTGGGGAGGAGCCGTGGTTTAGACTTAACTCTCCCGTTATTGCTTAATTAAAACTGTTCTATCTTTGAAGCTCTCTCATCTACGTCTAATCTATTTTAATAAACCTGGAGCCTTACCGTACCAAGACTCCTTTGGGTCTACCAGTCCAGAGGAACGATACGTAACTATGAGCTCCCTTAGCTACAGCCATAAATCTAATTCAGTAATTAGTGGACCAGACCTATGATGTGGCATAAGTGTTTCAGTGACTCACACAGCCAATACTTGACCAGTGGTTAAGTGAACACACTGAGTGATATTCATAACTATATAAGTATGTAAACTTATGTGTGTTATAAAATAAAACCATTCTTAAGTGCATAAAATAAAAATCAACCTAACCCTATTAGGCTATCTGAACTGAGAATAGCACTGGTAAATGTTGGTTGCTATAGGTGTTGTCTTCATCTGTAGCTTTGCTGTGTTCTGACTGAAAATACCATTTGGAATGAGATTTTTACAAGGGATTTTTGAGCCTCGGGTATAAGGCGCACCATCTTGTCTGTAAACTGATGTGGGAATCTCTGCTCCTTCTTGTGTTTGATGTAGACCCGCCGCAGCATGGTTTTTGCCAAGCACCTGCGACTCATTGCAGATGATTTCAGAGCAAAGTATCTGAACTCCACAGATGATAGAGACCACACACTATACAGTGAGGACTGGACTCGCATGAAAGTGAGTTAGTGTATCTGACCGTTGTATTATTATGTCAGTTGCCATGTGTTAACCATGTATGTACTGTACTATTGTTTTAATTACCTTTTCATGATTAATTGTGTTAAGACCTTTATTTAAGAATTAGCATTTTTTTAAGATTACTTCACCCGGTCCCGGATAAGCAGAGGAAAATGGATGGATGGATGGATACTTCAGCGTATCACATCGGCTACTAAAATCCATTCACTTCTCTATACCATTTTGTATTTAGATCATCTTAGCAGCAAATTAACAATGCCTTAAAAAAATCATCTAAAATTATTGTAAGAAAATGACTAGAAGTCATAAACGTTTGTGTGTGAATGTACATGCTGCATTTGTTGATTTTCCAGTTTTGTAGATTGACATTGGGGTGCACTTAAGTCTGAAAACAACCAGTGATTATTGCCTTTTGATAATCACTGTTAAGCAGTAGCTAAACTGTTTCTTTATTTCCTCCTCAGGCCAAGCTGGGCTCAGCTAAAGGTGGTTCATATCTGGGGGTCCACCTGCGTAGAAAGGACTTTATCTGGGGTCACAGAGAGGATGTACCCGGCCTTAAGGGGGCAGTCAAAAAAATGCGCAGCTTGATGAAGAAGCACAAACTTGACAAAGTGTTTGTTGCAACTGATGCAGATGAAGAAGGTAATGACACAGCAACACATTCAGAGACAGTTTTAACATCAAGTGAGCCATGGGGGTATAGGAATATAATTCGTAGTAATGACATAAGTGCCTCAGTGTTTGCATCGCATTAAATTTTTTACCCTTATGAATTATACTAGTATTTCTGACTGATAAGGCCAGTAGCTGGTATTTTTTTGATAAAATCTATTTTTGTTTATTTGTAAAGCCTATTCTGGTTTAAAATCATTTCAAACAGAACTGACACAATAAGACTAAAATTCTATATATTATAATAACAAGACCTAGTAGTAATAGTATTAGTAAGTAGTACTAGCATATCAATACAGTTATAGTCTCTATAAATGCTTTTATAAATATGTGTAATCTATGCACTCTTGTAGAGTTGACAGAGCTGAAAAAGTTGTTGCCAGACATGGTGCGGTTTGAACCATCCATAGAGGACCTGGAGCTCCTTAAAGATGGGGGAGTGGCCATTATTGACCAGTGGATATGTGCTCATGCGAGGTAAATTAGTTTTCATTGATTTGCTTTACATATTCATTGCATGAGATTAACATAGCAGTTTATTGTTGTGGGACATATTTTATGCTTCATATTTATAATAGCATTCAAAAGTTAGGGCCCACATTCCTATTGAATTGAATGGAACAGAAGGTCCCAACCTTTGACTGGTACTGTATTTGTTAATTACAAATGTGTTCTGTGTTTTTGCTTATTTAAAATCAGGCCTTTTCTGTTTTTGTTTTAGAATTGTTTTGCTTTATCATTTTGGAGGGGACACTGTGTGTAGACCGATTAAAAATGCCTTATTAAAATATAGTGTATCTCAGTGTGAATGCCTCCCCTCTGGACGGCGTTACAGGTCACTGTGCACCAAGACAACCAGGCACAGGGACAGTTTCTTCCCCCAGGCCGTCACTCTGATGAACACTTAACCATCAACAGTATGACTGGACAATAACCCTCAGTACCACACCTGTAAATATACTTGGTACAGATTATACAGATCCATACAGGTCTCTATTTCTAAGTATGCTACTTTTATTCCTATTTATCTCGTTTCACAATGAACATATCTTGTCTGTCTGCATTGTTTATTGCCTGTATATACTGCTTATTTTGCATTGTTTGTACTGCTTGTTGCTTGTTAATACTGCTTATTTTGTTATATTACACAGCCTTATGCTGGTTTACTGTTTACTTGCCCCTTGCATGGGGATACAGTACATATATACACATTAAGAGCCAATGTACCAGAGTAAAATTACAGGTGTGTCTGACACACCTTGCCAATAAAGGTAATTCTGATTCTGATTCTGAATATCCAAGTGTTTTCTGAAAGTATTGTATAAGAATAGCCAAGTGTTTTCTGAAAGTATTGTATAATAACATAAAATGTGTAGATTTGATGATTTGCATAATTTTGAGCAAAGACTAAACATAAAATTTTATGATTTGCATAATTTTGAGCAAAGACTTGAGCTATGTGTAATCAGTGTGTTATTGCTGATATCTGTAGGTAAATATTGAGTGGTTTTTTGTTTGTTTGTTTGTTTTTTGCAGTCATGTGCTTGTTGTCCCTGCCCATGGAAACTATTTCAACTTGGCCAAGTCATGGTGGCTGTGCATGCCACCTCACTGCATGTCACATACTCATGTAACTTTCCATGGTGCTCATCTCTTGAATCATGGTTTTTGCTTTATTTTTCTCTATTTCTTTTCAGATTCTTCATAGGAACATCAGTGTCCACCTTCTCTTTCCGGATCCATGAAGAGAGGGAGATCTTGGGGTTTGATCCCAAAACTACATACAATCGTTTCTGTGGGGACAATGAGAAAGAATGTGAACAGCCTACACACTGGAAGATTGTTTACTAATGTGACCTCTAACCTTCCTGACACACACAAGTGCCCAAAAGCAGTGTTAAAAGTGACATTTATTTGTATGGAATATAATAGGATGATATTTTAATAGTTTGATGGTTTCAGAGTTGTACAATGACTGAACCTTAAGCTCAAAAGGCCCAGACTGGGCTGCCAAATGTGTACTGTATTACTGTAATATTCAACAAGCCAATCTGCATATGGTTTTTAGGTTGTACATGTTGCTTATGACAGCTTGGAATTTGACATACTTTCAAATACTCATTGCTGACACTAGCACATCTGGTGAGAAGATGAGATATACTTTTCTTGTTCCCTTAGAGAAATTGTTCTTGGTCTTAGTGTTTGTTGTACTTTACACATGTCATATAAATGGCATATGGTCATGTACTTACATACAAATGCTATACATGCATTCAAGTGTCTTTAGGAGAATCAGCTACAGGCAGATAAACATAAACCATCATTGCACAGTTCCAGGCAACACAGAAGCAGGAAAAAAGCACCCTTCAGTTATGCCTTGTTTAGAATTTTAATGTAAAGATGCACAAAATGATTCATCACTTTGGTACTCCATATTGTCTGTCTAAAGGCAGGAGTTCATACTCGGAGTGGAGGACATGGGAAGGGTCAGATAGTATTCTCTGTGCACCTCTAAGCGCAGACTGCTCATATATAAATTGAAGGGACTGATGTTCTTTTATCCCAGTAACTTTGATGGCACTCTGAATAAGACATACTTAAAGAAACCCTTCAAGCCCGATAATGCAAGTACATCTTTTTTTTTTTTGTATTTATTTATTTTTATCAACACCTTCTTATAAAGTACAATCTTTGCTTAAGCCTTGAGCACTGGTTGTCAGCATGAGCTAACCAGGTGAACCTGTTATATATGCCAATGTACTTGCCAAAACGTGCTGCCATGATTGCAGTGAGTGTTGACAATGTGGAGTATTCTCAGTTTAGCATTTCAAGATATTGAAATTCTGAGGCTCATTTTGTTGATATTGAGCATCTTAACTTTGTTATATTTATAAGGATATAGACTTTTTAATTTTTCAAAAATGACTGCATATGTATAAAGTTGATTTCAGAGACCATGAACATAGCACACAGTGCACAGTACTTCAAAGCATTTTCGATTAATTATGCCTGGCCTTTTGTTAGAACATTGTGCTCTTTCCTGGAATTTTCCTACTGCTACTGACTGATCAGATCAGTGGAATACCAACTGGTGATCAGTGGTGGTATAAAGTGTATTGTATCACCATGCTTTAATACATGTGTCCTTTGTCTTTGCACAAGGCACAAATTTAAAGAGAATAAACTGACAAAAACACTGTTTCACAGCACTAATGATGGGCAAAAACTCCACAAGTCCAGACAGACTGTTAACATGAGCTGCATTTCCTATCTGCTGTCGCTGTATTTCACTGTTCACTGTTTGAATAATGTTCGGTTTTTATGAAGTGCTTGTATTACCAATCCTTACATGGGACTGCATTACAGTATTACTGCTGCTGAAAAGTAGGAAGTATGACATGCTTGAATTTTGGTAATGCTGAATTCCTTCCACCTTTTCTTTTTAATATACAGATTATATTTGGCATATATCAGTGTTCTTACCAGTGATACCACCACTGTGTCGTGTCAACACTGGGACACTATCAAACTGTTATCTTATAACATGCATGTTTTCCTTTCCTAATGATGCATACATTCTGATCTTTATGGGTATTGTCTCATGACCTGGTTTGTACAGCAGGTGCATGATTTTAGTAATAAATAAAACACAGTTTAAGTAGAGTTTTAATGTGACATTATAGATGAGATAAAGTTAAATACCAACAAGGTTACTGTTTATATTTTTGTTGGGAGTGCCTTTCACTATCACTACTTTCACCACTTCATCTTGATCAGACAAATCTACAGAAATGTGAAAATTCTGTAAATTATATTATGTGATAGTTATATGATTATATCTGGGTTGGCCCTATTTAATCAAAAATACAAGTTTGCAGAGCCATTTTGGGAATCAGTGCTTGTCTCAGGATCAGCCTCGCCAACTAGGTGAAGTTCTGAGGAACTGCCTGCTGTGCCAGTGGTTCACACTACATTGCATTTGTGCTTGGCTTTAACTCTATAGTTCTCTTATGTACCACTGTTATGTTGGAAAACCGGTATCACTTCTCTGATGGAATTTTAATGTTTCCTCTTTAGCCATACAGTAGTGTCATATGTCATGTTTGTCCTGCTTTGGCCCAACCCTGAGTCTTTATGCTGCTCATTGTTCCGTTTTTTAAAGGGTTTGTTACTGAAAAGATTATATGTAGATGTAACAAGTGAGATGCTAATTTTAATAGTATTCTGTAAATCAAATACTTTTAATTGTTGCATTATTGTTTTTATTTTTCTTTATTTCTATTTTGCCCTCACAACATAGTACTAACGTACAGTGTCTAGAGAGCATGTGAGTTGTTGTTGTCTGTGGAGGTCAGGGAGTTTTCTCATGGGAACCCATAGCTCACCAGCAACAGGTTACAAATCTACGTAACAGTCGGTAATTTGATGCTCGGTGTAAATCTGTCACCTCTAAATCTCCTGTTCCTTGTAGAACACAGATGTAGTTTTTAATTGCATTGTAGGCCATAATCTTAACCATTCACAGATGAATCCTTTTCTCCATTAATCATTTTATCCAAGTTGTCCTGATATAAACCCAAATAAGGGCTAAAGATAATACTTTTGAAAATAAGCTGTACTGAAAAGCTTATAACTTAAGACTGTTAATTACTTAAATTCATGAACACATACAATAGGTGAATTTCAGATATAACAGTGTGTTTTAAAAATATTTTGGTTACATAAAAGATAAAAAATTTCATATAGTTGATTAAAATGGTAAAAGTAAAATAGTTTAAGCCCTTTTCATTTACATACATTAAAGGGTCCTCCAGCTTCAGCCAATAATTTTTAGCAAACTATATTTATAGTTATGGTTAAATTGTTCCTAGAAGTCACCTCCTGTGTTTCTGACAGAGACCACGCCCCTTTTCACAGAATTACCTTCTCACGCAGGTGGCGCTACCCACATAGCAGCAGAAAGAACAGAACGGTGAGCGCTTGTTTTTACCCTTTGCAGTTACTGCAGCATCGCTTTTTTGTGTGAATTTAGTCAATTTTAATCTGAAAACCGACAGCTGGAAGGGACAACCTGCTAGGATCCACCTGGCATCATGTCCTGCATAACAAGCCAACAAGCCTGAGTTAACACATCTGACCAACTAGACGGAGTCATCCAGGTAGGTCCGGTAGTTTGTTAGGAAATTTATTAATTAATTAATGTATTATTTAGTGTACACATGTAAACCTAGTCAGAGATTTCTGCGTTTCATCAAGTGATCTTAATGTTTTTATTTTTATTATTTTAATCTATCTATCGCCATTCAAACCTAACTCTGCGGTAGAATAAAGTAGCTAGCTTGTTTCGTTAACATAATTTGATTAAAAAAAAAAATATTCAGTTTTTTATCTTGTCTGAAATGTCAGGCTAATGTAGGCCAGAAATAGGCTAGACCCAGCTAGGAATTATTTGTTATAAGAACGTTCCCATTACGTTTCAGTTTTTTTAGGAAAACGTTCTCGAGACTTCTAAGTCTCATATCCAGTTGATAAATCCGTGTTATCAATAGGACCAGCAGCTGTTTTGGAGCTTCACACAGTCACATTGTTGAAGATGAAGTTTCCCATCATGGAAATATAAATGTTCAAGTTTTCTTTTCTTAGAGGACTTTAAGGACTTCTTCTTAATGTTGGGTTTAAAATAATGATCTTCAAATCTCAGCTATATACAGTATCTACACTTGATGGAACCATGCTGACATGGATACTGAACACGAACCATCTGCTCATGTGGTCTTTTTTTATGTTTTATCTTTATTTTTGGGACTGATTTTTTTTTTTTACATGTCTTCACTTTAGCTTTCTTTAGGGATGGCATTATTTCGACAGCTGCGGCTTCTTCTCTGGAAGAATGGGCTGGTAGCCATCAGACAGCCAGTGAGTAATTTTCATGTTTACTGTGGAACTATTAGGCTGTTTTATTTTCATAAGCACACAAATCCATGTATAATGTCTACTTTACCATTATTACGGGAGACTATGTGGAATATACTATATAAATATCAGTACCTCTAGTGACTTAATACCCCATATTAGTTGAAAAAATTTGGTGATAGGTGATAAAGCTGAAGCTATATATTCTATTCAGTTCTGTTCACTTAGCTGAACAAACGTAGAAAAAAAATCAGCTGGGCTTGGTTTTAGGTAGAAGACGTTTCACCTCTCATCCAAGAGGCTTCATCAGTTCTACCCGACTGGCATTGAGTTGGAGATATTTATCCCCATCGGTGTTGTTTCAGTCCTTTGATGGCCAACAATGTCCCCTAACAACTGAGTCATTATAGCCCAGTACTGGTGAGCGTCGTTACCTGTCTTTAAACCCTAACCTGTGGACCGACACTTATTCTCCTGGCGGGCATGTTTGGGCAGAGATCTCAAAACAGAGTTGTAGATGGGTAAGAAGTTGTGTCTTAGTCCACCACCCCTATTTAGTGAGGGGTGTTCTATTTGGACAAAAATAGCTTCTTTGACTCCTCTCTCAAACCAGCGATACTCTCTGGAGAGGATCTGGACTTCACTGTCCTCAAAAGAATGTCCTTTGTCCTTCAGGTGGAGGTGGACTGATGATTCTGGTCCACCCCATATTAGTGATTTTTAATATATATAAAGTATTATTGAGAAAGCCTAGATGGACGAGTGCAAGTGAATTGTTCGTGTCATCTCGAGTTAGTACATTTTCCGCTGTTTTAAGAAACCTGATGTTTAAATTTATTTGTCGCTTGAACTGTTCAAAAAATCATATCATTTTATCGTTGACTAATGTTGCACACAGTGACGTGCGTTTTACTTCGGTTCTCTGGAAACACTGGTATACCTGTCTTTTAAAGGGGCAGTAGTTTTATGGGTGTTCTTGTGCTCTCGTTTTTATGTATTTTCTGTTTTTTATTGTTTCGTTTTTTAAACTGTTCTTTTATTGCATTATTTGTTTTTGAACCTGGACCTTGAGTCTGTAATAAAGTGTCATCATCATCATTATAAATATATATAAAAACTAGTTATATCACTGTTTTATAACTTGTTTTATAGGTATGGTCTCTGACCCTGATCATCTGGCCCCTCATTATCTTCATCATCCTTGCTGTGACACGGAACCAGTTTCCTCCAGTACAAAAAGATACATGTAAGTGTAAAACTGTCTAGGAAGAAGAGCCTTGATTAGGTATATTTTTAGTTAATGATGTTTATTTCCTATATTCCTTCATAATAAATATATTTCCAGTGTTTCTATACAGTCACTCACAAACAATGATTCCAAACAATATACAAACAAAACAAACAAAAGTTAAACAGAGTAAATCTTTCAGTATAACGTGCTGGAAGTGCATCACAGCACTCCCCTCTTCTGCATCTATAACTTGTCTGTAAGCTCCTCTGGTACTACCAAGAATGCTTCATCAGGGCAACCATAGCAATTAATTTTTTGTTTTTGTTTTGGGCTGTCATCTCTGAAAACAGTTCATTAGAGCTTAATTTTCATAAAGAGAAAAAAAATCATTCTAAAATGGGAAGCCAAAGGGGAAGAGCTAATTGGCTAAAGTTTGCCTTAGCACAATGTTGACTTCACACAGTCTTCAGGGTTTTGTTTAGCACCTTAAAAGACAGCAGCTATGCACTTGGAGATATTCCAATTCTGCTGTCCACATAATCAAAAGGAAAGTTTAATTGAAACATGACCAGTTCTTCATGTTGCTCACATAGACCAGAGTTATTTAAGCTGTTTGTAATAAGTGAGGGTAAAGGTGCTTTAGGGTGGTGTTTTTAATAGCAGGGAGGGGTGGAGTATGCAACTAGTTGGTTTGGAACAACCAGCAGGTGCGTAGGTGTTTTCACATTGTAATGGAAAACCAGCTTTTGCAAGCACCTCTTCATTGTTGTGTATGTAGTGCGTGGCACAGGCACTGCTTTGCCAACTATGTTGTGCGGTGTGGAACATGGGTTCAGAGAAGGATCAAATTTATTGAACTTTGAATCCTGTTGTGCGTGTTAGCCCTGCGTTGGACTGGCGACCTGTCCAGGGTGTACCCCGCCTCTCGCCCACAGCTGGCTGGGATTGGCTCCAGCCCCCCGTTTGGGACTAAGCGGTTTAGAAAATGGATGGATGTATGAATCTGTTGCCGAGACTTTTGTGGGCACAGCCAATGATTATTGACTACTGCAGGGACTTGAGAGAAACTAATTAGCATGATTGTCAATATCATGACATTTTCTGTGCGGCATGAGTGAAGTAACAGGAGTGAAGGGGCCAAAGAGTAGCATCTCATTCACTGAGATATGTTTGCGAACCATAGAGCAGAAAGAGCTCTAAAACACTGAATGAGAATTGGAGAGTAACTGAGAGCTAAAGAACAAGATCCGCCACCGAGATTTGATGACAGAGAGACATGAAGGATATGCAGTAGTGTGTTCAGAAGAATCAAAAGAGCCAAAGTGAAGGACTTTTACCATCACTAGTGCCGACCAGTGTGGTACACGCTGTGCAGACTCTTGCGTTTTTTACAATATGAACACACCTGAAGTCTGTTGCAAAAGTTGCACCTGTTATGTTTGATACAGTTACCAGGTTATTTTTTGAGAAAGGGTAACGTGGTTTATGTACGAAGCCCAGATTCTATGAGTATATGGGTCCCACTGGAAATTGACTACTTAGCCTCTTGTATGGTCTTGTAAGTAAGGCCCGCGCAGCAGGTGGGTGGGTGTGGAAAAAGTCTTCAGTGTCACTCGAGAGCATGGGATAAACCCAATAGCAACAGCCTTACAGGTAGAGGGCTTTGATTGTTTTCATAGAATCTGGGGTTAAAGTTTTTAACCAACCTGTATCTATAATTAATTAACCCTTCCATATTTGATTGTTCATGTCTCGGAAACAGGCACAGCAATGGACCACACCTAAAACAGGCTACTCAAGTATGATCAGTATCAGACTGAATGGCCAACAATAACCTTGAATCATGTTGTACTGTATATATTGGCTTTCTGCAAACACAATCTAAAGTTATTTTAGGTGATCACACAATTTGAGTACCTGAGGCCTGATTTAATGCAGTTTTTTAAGTTAGCTTATATGCTTCAAGTTTCAAAATGACTTCCACAGACACATTGGCTAGACTTAGTCAAATGCTGTTCGCTAGGCTATTATTCTTTTTCAGAGAAATTTGTCATGCCAAGATGAGACATTGTGTTTTGAGATATTGACAGGAATGTGAGTTACTGTACTGTGAAGGCACAGGAGCTTGACATGAACATGATCTGCTCAATCCTTGTTACATCTCAGTTTCTAAACAGTGACGTTGTTTCCTCACAAAAGATGATATGGGTTACTCACTCAGACAAATGGAAATGAGCTCAAATTTCTGATCTTGTAATCAGAGATGTCTCTAGAGTCAACAACTTTTCAAAAAGAAGTGCATATTAGTCCAAATCACAGAAACATTTTAAGCAGAGCTGCCACTAACACCTGTTCTTCTAATGACTAATCCAACAGCTGTTTTATCAATTAGTCAGTTAATCTAAGTGATTATTTTTCCTCCATAAGAATACATGCCCCCCCGAGCACTACACACATGAACCACAGAATACATGAAACAACACTGCATTTTTTATCTTCAGTAACAGTAATAAGCAAATGTGCATGGTATGATAACCACCAATTTTCATACCACACCGTGAAACCGGAATACCACTTGACATGTCAACTGGGGTTACAGTGGATTACATTTTCAAAGTTGGTGTAATTGATGTTTTCAAGCATCTTCACTACAGGAACCACTTTGTCGTGTCTTCTCCAGGTTATGTCTCACCCCGGAACCTACCCAGTGCAGGGTTCTTCCCTTTCCTGCAGACTCTCATGTGCAATACAGACAGCAGCTGTAATAATGAATCATATCTGGTGGATCCAGCAGCTCAGAAAACAAGGTAACACCATTCATCAGTCCAGAGTGTATATTGTCTGTTATCTGATTTATACTGCAGAAACACTAACCCTACATACTTTTAAAGTTATACTATCAGTCAGTATCACTCCATCTGTGCTGCCCCATGGAACTTTCACATCTTCAGTATATTGTATGTCTTTATTTGCCCGGTGTAATTTGATAAAAAAAAAAAAAAACTGTACAGAAGATCTTTGAGTCAGAAAGGAGGGAAACATCTCAGCACAGCAGCATCACATAACATGATTAGTCAGTGTGTTTCATGGAAATATGCAAGCAACAAGCATCCCCGGTAGAAGAAGAGACATCTCCTCAGCTCCTTTACCGTTGCCCAAACCTAACCCAACAGAGCTTTATGAAGTCATATTAATGAATTGTTGAAAATAAATCAGTCTTTTAGAAAACATCTTTAATAAACACAGCTCTGTTTTTGTCCTCTTTTCCTTTTGACTGGTATTAGTTATTTGATAGCCTTTTTGTTGTTCCTTTGAAAGAACTCTTGGGCTTGCATAGTCTTTAGGAAACGGGCAGCTTTATTAATGTAAACCTGTCTACTTTGTTAGTTCAGGTGTTAAATGCAAGCATTAGTTGCTGGCTTAGAATTGTTCTGCTTATTTTACTTAGCTGTTGTGCTGTCATCGAATTTTAAAAGTTAAAAGCAGTACTTAAGCTGGTTAATATAAAAACCTGTTTGTCTTTTGCTCAACCTGCTGAGTAATGCTGGTTTGCACAAATCTCTATGCAAACTCATTTTACTTAAGCTTTTGTTGGTTTTAGAGAGCTGACGTCCTGCCTTCTCTTTTATCTAGCCTCTGTTCCACTTACTTTTGTAACTCAACATGTTTTCTCTCATAGCATTTTAATTTTTTTCAATGTTTAAAACGACATACCCAGTCATTATTACCTCATGATTTTTTGACTCTATATGACAGGTCAACCCAACAGAGGAGCTCTCCTCTGGGAAGCCTGGTAAAAGGGGCTCCTTCTTTCGACAGTGATTTCCTCAAAGACATTAATCCTGGCACACTTCTTGCAGCCTTGAAAGACATTTATGGTATGTTATACCCCTTCACACATCCAGCTTTCTTTGTACAGTACCAAAATCACATTTTCATGTTTTCCAGTAAAGTTTTGCACCCCTACTATTTGGTACAATTATGCACTTTGGGAGTCTTTATTTAAGTTCATCTTGTGGCATAAACAGCATTTGATCATATTTGGTCACTGAGGCATTTTGTTTGATTTTATTTTCAGTGTATTCATGATAAGAGCTTTTATGCTAAGCTAAGCTAACTGTCTCCTGGTAGCGTCATAGAAAGGGGAAATAATGTTTTCATCCTGCTCTTTGCAAGAAAGCAGGTAAACTTATTTCATAAAAATGCTAAACTATTGCTTTAAGACTCACACCGTATGAAATTGTTAAGTTAGTCTATAAAAATTGGTGGGCCTATTGCTGTACTCTAACTCTTCCAGTCAGGTAGGTTTTCTAACTGTTTTTTTTTTCTGTGTGTGTGTGTGAAGGTGCACCTGTCCAACAAAGGGCTAATAATGTATCTTCAATGAATGAGTATAACACACTTCTGGGAGATCAGGTGGGTGTTATACAACTGTAATGGGAGGAACAAAGAGGCTGAGAATGAGGAAGACCTTGTTTTCTTATTCATGTGTCCCAGTACTGAAATCTTGTTTGATGTCTTATGTATAGATAACCTTTCTGAGAAGATGAACCTTTATTCTCTGAAAAAAAGGATTATAGGAAGGCCTAAAAGGTTTATTTAAAGTAAAAATGTCTATTATTATTTTTTTATATGTTGCATGCAGCAGGACATTATGTTTGAGTAGAATGAGAACTGTTAATACTGTGATTCAAAGGGGCAGCTACCATTTTGTTCAGGAAAGTGTTAAAAAAAACTGGTGCATGAATTTACCCTCTTTACTTAATGAATGCTTAACTATAACAATCTGAATTCATATAAGTCATGTCATTTGCAGGAATTCTTGAACCAATCTCAGGGGTCAGTGAACGTGCTGAAGAGGGCTGCATGCACCATGATTCTGCCCATGATAAACACGACCTCGTCCAGCACCCTCAACTATGCCGTGGCCGCTTATTGCCAGTCCAACAACACTGTGTTAGAAGTCTCACTCCGAACACTCAACCAGGTTTGTGTGTGTCTGTGTTTGTCTTTGCGTGCAGATAAACATTATGTAGATTTGTGCCTGCATGTTTCAACTGGTGACTGTCAGCACAGTGTGATGATACAAACTGTTTTTATTTTGGTTTTATGTGAAGCATACAGTCCTACAGTTACACAGCTGGTGCGCTCGAGGTTGTTTAGTTGACTCTGACATTGTGTCTGATTGGCAGATACTGACAGAGCTAATGGTGACAAAACCAGATGAAATGCTGAAGAAGGCTGGGGTGATGATGGAGGCTTTCGATCAGCTGCAAAATCACCCCGCTCTGTGGGAAAGCCTTCTAGCAGCCCCTCGGGCCTTATCTTCTGGTTCTCCTGACCAAGTGCTGGGCAGCACCAATGACCTACTCACCCATTTACAAGGGTAATGTACCTACAGTAATGGATAGATGCAATGTGAATGAATGACAGCTGTGTTAAGTTGTTTATTTAGTAAGGGGAAAAAAAACTGGTGACTGCCAAAATTCTACTGTCATAATTAATAAAAGCCAGGTGTATTCACTGTGCACCAGTGAGACGTCAACAGAAGCCTGTAAATTCTATATTGAAAGTTTTTACATTTTAAAATGTATGCAATTAATTCTTCATTTAAATGCCCAGTACTGTGTTTTCATCCTAATGTTGAAGTGTTATATTACGGTATTGCTGTTATTTTGTGATGTTTAAAAAATCTTGGGACAACACTAGTGATCATTTGGGTACAAATAGGATGTCGTTTAAATATACCAAGCTGAGGTATAATAAACATGATCTCTGGTGACTTTAGTTTAGTAAGTCAATATTCATATTAGCTTTGAAACACTTGGTTCGTCAGTATCAGGGGCTGATAGGTATAGAACAGCAGGGGTGCAAAATGGGTATGTTTATGTTTTTGTCTTGTGTTGAGTATTAACGGTTTATCCCCCTGTGGTCTCTCTAGTGCTCTGCATGTCACCAAGGGCAATTTCTCTGACACTGATGCTGCCCTTTCCTCCCTGCATCCAGTACTTGTTGGAGGCATCAACATGATCAACTACATTCAAAACTGGCCTGGCAAAAGTAACATTAACTATATGGCACATACTCTGTGTGTTACACAGGGTGTTTTTAATTAAATAGCTTTGATGTATAATAGGTATACTTTAATAAATATGCTGGTCAATTAATCATTGATTACTAAAGCATTTATGGTATAATTACTTAAAATGCAGAGTAACACTGAAGGCATGAGGTCCTGTTGTTTTAGGGAAATGACAACACAACTCATCTTTGCTTTCCAAAACATCAGAGAAATGTTGTTAGTCAGGTTCCATGCTAATACATGGTCATTTGATTCTGCTTAGATGTGTCTGTTTCTCTCGGGGACATTATCGCATTGCAAAATGACTCAATAAGTGAAGTGGTGAAACATGTTCTACCAGAGGTACAGATACCACTGCACCAGGTATGTGTTGCCCACAGTTGTCATTATACCCAAAACATAAATATGACACAGCATACAGTATCTTTACATTAGTTAAAGCAATCTGAATTCAATGTCTTATTCATACATATTTTGATTCTCAAACTCAGTTAGGAAAACAGAAACAGGGCAAGTGAATTTGAGTTTGAAATTACAAGTTAAAGGAATAGTTTAACATCCTGGGAACGGTGATTATTTGGTTTCTTTGCTGAGAGTTAGAGAAATATCACTCTCTTGACTGTACATAGCTGAAGCACAGGGAAACAACCTGACTCTATATACAGGTAACCAACCTTCCAGAACCTGTAAAGCTTACTAATTAACATGTTATATCTTGTTTGTCTAAAGCTTACTAATTAACATGCTATATCTTGTTTGTTTAATCTGTGCAAAGAATGAAAAGTAAAAATAACACTTTGACACTTTGCCCTTCTCAGTGGCTATGTGATGGAGCATTTCTTGGCTGCAAACCAGCAGAGTCTGGTCCTGCCCATGAAATGGTTTGGTATATAACTCCCTGTAAAATCACAGTTTAAAATCACATTATTATTATAATTTCCTTTGAAAATGCTAAACAAACAAGATACGTCATGTTGCTATTTGAGCTTTAGAGGTTCTGGATGGCAGATTTTTTACCATCTGAACAGAGCCAACTGTTTCCCCTTGGTTTTTGTCTTTATGCTAAGCTAAGCTAACCATCTTCTGGCTGTATCTTTACATTTATGGAACAGATATGATGATGGTACTCCACGTATGTTACCAAAGTATCAATTAATTTGAAGTAACACTCTTTTTTCCTGTTTTAGTATGTGTAGTAATAATCATTTCCTGAACAAGTCACCACTTTAATAAGAGTTTGACCACAATTTAATTATAAATAATGCAACTGTCCTCTCTGGTCTAGGCTATCGTCTTGGCATGGGACAAGGACATGGCGCGTTCCTACGTGTGTAACAATGGCAGTAACTCAGTTTTTGTAACAGCAGCATGCAGTACAGGCACTATGGACATTCTTCTGAGTTGGATCAGCCCTTACAAGGTGGCTACGCAGGTAAGCAAAAATGAGAATCACAGACATCAGAAATGAACCAGCTGCTTGACCTGAGTGGGTGGCAGTTTTTCTGTGTACTTTTCTATTGTTTTTTTCTCTCATTGTCTCACGCTCTGCAACATTGCAAAAGAACAGATAACACAGTATTGTGCTAAAGTCCTTTGTCATTTATCTCACAGTGAGAAAAATGACTTGCCATATAAATCACAGTTTTTCAATAAAAGAAACTGAAAATAAACTCGTATGATTTGGTGTTATAAAATGTTTAAACAAATTTATAGGTGAATGAACCTCACCATCTCAAGTCAACACATTTTTTAAAATTATATTATTCTTAATAAAAAAAACAGATTACAGTTGGATAAAACGATTTTTTTCCCACATTATAATAGTTTCATTAACATGCCTCATTTCTTGCTGCCTTGGTTTAATGCCATGTCATATTGTTTAAACTGTTATTATCAGCAGCCAAATGTGATAAACCAGTCATAGCAGTAATTCCAGTTCTGAGATTTTTGACACTGATAATATTGCCACTTGGTGAAAAGAACTACCGATATGTCAGCAAACAGAATGGTAGAGTGGCTGCGACTATAAAATCCAGTATTTACATCAATACAATTAATAGAGCTAATTTCATTGGAGCTATACTTTGTGTCTGTTTTCACTTTTACAATAAACTGCTACAAATGCATAACAACAAAAGTACAGTAACTGATTTATGCTGCTTATCAGATGTGACTACAGGGCTAGCAGTAAGGGTAACCGCATTGGAATAGTGTGTGAACCCTCTTTTCCTTTCTCTTTTATTCCCAGGCTCTCCTGGCATGGAGTAAGGATGTTGCTCCACAAGATGTGGCCTTCGTAAAAGGGCTACTGCACAGTATGACTGAAGGTTCATACCCAGGAGGACAGGGAGCTTCCACCTCGAGGGCCCGGCGTAGCATAGACACACAACCACAAAACATTGAAGAGGAGCTGTAAGTACAGCACTGTCTGTACATACTATACTATACAAATCACTTGTAAATCAAATTGATTAGAGGCCAAAACTAAAAAGCAAACTGGACTGAAGCAAATAAGGGGACACATTTTTATTTGTAGTTTTGTTCAGTATCAGCCATAGTTGGCCAAAGAAAATGCATTTTCCTCTTTATATTATTATTTCATTGTACCAGCTAATGGATATAATGTCTTAATGCTGGGGAAATGGGGAAATGTCAACCTCAAAAAAGGTTTGGTAAATCATTTGAGATTAACCAAAACCAAACTTTTTGAAATTTTAAAAATCTAAATATAAGCAGCCTATAAACAAATCATAAAAACTGTTCTTATGTTGATAGTCCACAGTAATACGAGCAATTTGTGCTTTAACTTGAGAATAAAAAATTTGGATATGTACTTTGGCAGGTTTTTGAGCATTGGTCAAGTGGTGTTGGAGATTATAGAAGATGTCCCTGAAGTGGATATGTTTGTCCAGAGCATCCTCAGAACCAGCTTTCAGGTCATGACGTTGGCAGCAGAGGACCTCGAAGGTGCAGAAGGCAAGTGTCTCCTATCATTACACTGACTGTTTCAACATATTGCATCTTTCATCTTTAAAACTGTTAAACAGAGCTAGTGTTAGCTTTCTTATTCCTACAACATACAACGTTATCTCCTATAAAGGTAAAATTGACTTAATATTTTGATTTTTTTTCACTCACAGTACGCTATTAATGCTACCTGGAGTACACACTGTATCTGTATCTATGTAGAGGTGAATGGAACCGGGTCACAATCTGTTTCAGGGGACTGTTTAAAGACAGAAAAGGTTGAATTAAAGTAGGGCTAGCGGAGTTACCATCCAGGAAATGGATATCTCTCCAACATACACACACACACACACACACACACACACACAGAGGAGATTATAACACAGACACGCACACAAAAAACAACCCCCTGGGGTGTATCATATAACTGTACTGGAAGTCATGCGGGGGACCTAACATTTGTGTTGAGAATTACTTTACTATTTATCAAAGGACTGGTCCTACTTCTGTTTTATCACAACATATGACTGTAGTTAACTGACCTGGCTTTGTCTCCACTGTATTTTTTGTTGTTTACACTCTTACTGGTTTACAGAAATGATGGTCAGTGTCCTGAAAGTTTTTGAGCTGCTCCAACCGATAAATCGAACATTGGCAAACGAGTCTGATTCAAACGTTTGGATGGATTATGTCATGGACGAAGTGACGGAAATTATTATGAAGGTATGCTAGTAGTACTGTATATCAGTTGGCCACAGATCTTTGTGTATTGATCCCTTACTGAGAAAATCATGTTATTTTCACAACCTTATTTTTGGAGTTTCACGCAATTACCTTTTAGGTGATTTGCCTGAGTGCATGACAAGTCTGATTGGCAGACTTGTCATGCACAGTGGCTTTGACACTATAGCTGCTAGCAATAAAATTAGTGTGTAAACTGTTAATGAAGTCGGCAGAATTTTCCAAACAAGACCTGGACATAAACTAGGTTTATCTATATGGATAGATATAGATATAGATATATTTAAGTAGAGAGTAAGAGCTTAATAAATGTGTACGAAACTACACACACAAGACATGTCATGTACTACATGATTAACTGAACACCTGTCATAATTTCACCTCCTTATCATAAATAATACCATGGCTTTAAGCCTCCAATACCATCACGTTTTGTTGATAGTACTGAAAACATTAAAGGTAGCAAACACTTGGTTTGTACTTTTGTGCCCTTATACTAGAGTCTGACATCTGAGTCGCTGAAGTGTGAGGACCTCCTGGTGGATCCCTTTGAGTGGCTTTTAAACAATCAGAGCATAATCATCAACATGTGGATGTCAGTGATCTGCCAGAGCAACTACTCTACTCTGCAGCAAGTTCTACTGATGGACTGGCCAACACTAATGCAGAAGGTAAACGCTGTTAAAATCCACATGAAGAGTTTATTTCTAAAACGATACTGTGTGTGCCAAAAAATGCTGCCTGAAATACACGCAAATGTGAAAAACAGATACAGGATTTTAAGATTCCTTTTCCAACTGTTACACTCCTCATGCTTTAGTATTGTTTTCTGGGTGTGCTTTGGTACTGTGCATACTTTTAGTACTTCACTGCACCAGTGAGGATATAGTAGAAGTTGAATCTCATGAATCTGATGACAGTTAGTGATTTGTTTGGTCGCTGTCAATTAAAACTGAACGACACACAATCATAGTCTCGATGAAGCAGGTTAGATGATTTTCTGACTGTTAAACTCAAATAAATTATATTAATAGATTTTGTTTACTTTTTTGTGTTCAATGTTATACAGTTACTTAAGATTTGAACCCAGATTTTCAGCCAGTTTATTTTTCCACAGGCACAAGAGATTTACAGCAACCTCACAGACCAAGCAACCTACAATGTCACCCTCCACATGGTTCTCTCTGAGTGGCAGGAGTTGAAGAGTCACAGTCTGCGGTTTCAAGCACTTTTGGAAAGGCTGACCACAGGGCTGGGTCAAGTGTACTGGATGAACTGGACGCCAGATAGTGGCATTCATAATGCCACTGGGACTCTTCTGGAAAGGTCTGGAGACAGCGCTGTTTATATTTATTCAAGAGATCTGCTGTTCTCTGCATGTCTGCTTTTGATTTGAACAAATGATTGATTACAGGTTGTCATATCCTTAAAATATTGCTCTTTTGTTAATAACAGCGCTGAAGTCTTAAAATTACAGCTCTTTAAAATGTAAAAGATTTAAGGCCCATCAAAAGGCTATACAAATTGCCAATATCAGTGAATTTAGTAGAAGAAAAGATAAACAATAAGAATAAAAGCGTCAATTTTCATCATGATGTATTTTTGATAATGTACACAATGTCTCATTTTATCATTTGACTCTATCAAGAGTATTGTTCTTTTGCTGTTTTAATTTATTTATCCATCCATCTATCTATCTATTTTGTAGTGTTTTCTTATTCATGGTGAATTTTGGAGAAAAGCTTGAGGAGAGTCAACTATGGCCCAAAGTAAAGGACTATTTCCACACGATTTTCTGGATTTTGAGCTACAGGCCTAATGTCTCAATACACCCAGCAAACTGTAAGTCCCATTTCTCTTCTCTTTTTCCCTTTATTGCGCGAAATTAGAGTTACTACATTAGGGTAGAAATGAAGCCTAAATGTTTTCAACATTTGATTCAGAACTGTATATTATAATCAAAATTTCATTTGATTAAGATACAAGATATAAAGAGTAATACAAATTTTACACATTTTTGCATGGTACATTTATTAGAATAATTAGCATATCTTCTTCTCAACAAGAGCTTGTCAGCGTAATCAGCACCCACACAATAAGGGCTTTCTTTTGAAACCTTTTTTCTGTGAAATTTTGAACAGAGCAGTTAAATCATCCTGTGTACATTAATTAATAGACAATGTTACTGAGCCATGTCAGGGGAGTCAAGTGAATAGTTGGTGTAAAGACAAAGACTAAGTAATATTTTATTTAACATAGTTAAATAAAGGCAATCAATTCAAGGATGGATGTAATGTTTCTCTTCCCCTCTAGGTTCTTTTGATAACCACACCATGGCCCTTCACTGCGATACAGGTTTGAACTGGCCACAGTTTGTTCAAGCAGTGGCTCAGGCTCTGATGTCACCAAGCAAAGCCCTGGTGAAGTAAGTGAGAAAGCCTTTTAATTTTAATGAACCATGTCTTGCTGAATGTGAAGATGATGTATGTGCTGCATATTAGTGTTGTGACAATACTGGTATACCTTGATAGATTTTTGATACCACTAGAAAAATTGACACTTGATTGAGGACATTAAATTTTACACTTTATTTAAAAGACAAGTATAACAAGTTTATAACTAGAGAGTGTGGTACAGCTTATCTTTTCTTAGCTAGTAGCAGAGAACAGCAGAAATACGGTAGTAAACATTACCAATAGTTTTTTGTACTTTTTATCCATCCATCCATCCATCCATTTTCCTCAGCTTATCCGGGACCAGGTCGCGGGGGCAGCAGTCTAAGCAAAGATGCTCAGACTTCCCTCTCTCCAGACACTTCCTCCAGCTCCTCCGGGGGCATGCCAAGGCGTTCTCAGGCAAGCCGAGAGACATAGTCCCTCCAGCGTGTCCTGGGTCTTCCCCGGGGCCTCCTCCTGGTGGGACATGCCCGGAACACC